GTATCTGTGCGAATACCATGACTGTCACAATATTCTTGTATGCGGGTAAATTCGGAGCCTCCATCCCTGAAGATTGCTCGGATACGCTTGCCGTGCTGATGTTGCTGGGTTTCGGCCCATTGAACCAGTAGTTGCGCGATCCGGTCTTTTGCGTTGGTAGTGATTGCCCACCTCATTCGGGAATTTGCGTCAGTGAGAATAATTGCATATTGATGGCCGTTGAAGGCTTTGGTTAATTTGCCGACTGTATCAACAAAATTTTCATCTAGTGGCTCACCTGGTGTTGGCCTCGGTTCTCTAGAAACGAACCTTTGCACTTTTCTCAGATGGCATGTCTCACATGTACTAAACTCTGATAAGTCGATGCCTTCCAATCCTAATGAATGTTCAGCAGTTTTCTTGAGAATCTGTTGTCCTGAATGTCCGAGTCTTTGATTCCAACGCTGAGTGCTTGTGAGGGATGGGAGTCTTGCAACTCCTGGCGCTGCAATATTCAATGAGGGGTTTGGCTCAACAAACTTTTCAAGTGGTTCAATAAAAAGGACTCCATCATTGTCTATAAGTCGTGCTACTGGTATATCAGGATTGTTTTTGTTGATCTTTACAAGTAGTTGATTATTTGATGCTGCCACAATGTCGTGTTCCTTTTTTAAGCGAACTGCTGAGATAATGTTGCAAGCGGAATTGGGTGAATAAAGAGTATCAGATAATTCAAGAGTTAAGCTGCCGATGGTCGCGAGTAGAGTCCCAGACTGCGTCAAGGTGGAGCTTCCTATCGCTTGATCAAACTTGAAAGGTCTAGACAACTTTTGTATTTTGACAAAATCTTTCACATTTCGAGAAAAATGGTGCGAAGCACCTGTATCATAGAGTAAAGAATTTTTGTTTACATAGGCTGAAGAAGCCCTAGCTACATTAGCTACGCCCAGCCCTTCAGAACTTGAGTCACTGTCGTTTCCAGCTTCATTATCAAATCTAGATGCTACTCTTGCTGACGGATTAGCCTCATTATTTCTGTCTCTATTTTTCTTTTTATTTCTCAGCTCAGGATGCTGCTTAAAACAGTTTTTATTACTATGACGATGTTTGCAGATTCTACATCTGTCATTAGGCCTAGTCGTGATGTCATTGACCTCTCACTGATAACTCACTGGTCCGGCTGCTACCAGTGCTTGTCCAGATGTAAGACCTCTACTCCCTGCTGCCACCCTTAGGGACGAAATCATCTTATCCAGCGAGACATATCTATTGTCTGCTCCGTAGACTTTCGTTTCTCTCCAAGTATCAAGCCAGAAAATTCCTTCTGTACCCCGAACAAAGAGCAAGCACGCAACGCCATCTGGGATTGAATATTTATTGATTGAAGATTCTTTGTCCAATGTTTCAGCTGCAAGAGATTCAGCTGCGCTATTGACTGTTAAAAGGTTCTGTAGAAATCTGTCACAATATTCTTCAGCTGTGGTAAACGACGTCGAGAAAAAGGTTCTGCCTGCAATTTCGTATGGGGTGATTGCTGTTTCTTGTCGCGTCATCGCAGCGTGTTCATAAAGCTGTTTTGCGGTGTATTTTCTGTAATTCTTTGGCCGAACCTCCACGCTCATTCGACAGACGAGTATATTTTTTGCTTCCACATCTCCTTCGATCCATTTATCGACTTGATTCTGATATTCCTCGAGGGTTATTTTGAATTCAGCATCTGATGTATCTGGTGATTTGACAGGAGGCGTCGGTCGGATGATGGGCCTCATCCCTATTTCGTGAAAGACGTATGCGAGACGCTTCTTCTCAGCCAATGCTGCCTGAACGTCAGTTTCCCACTCAGAGAAACTGACGCCTGGACCGAGGATTACTCGAGGAACAGTTGATGCCATTGTAACTAATTCTTTTCTGCTGATAATGAGTTATCTGACCTTGCTTGTTAGTGCAATATGGTCCTTGACGCAGGAAAGAGCCCGGGCTCATAATCTGTTATGAATGCAAGGTTATGGGAGGTGGAATAGTTACCGGTAAATAACTGCACGTTCACTGAGGCTTGAAGGTAGAGGTAGATTGTAATGAATTAGTAGACTTGCTTGCTTTCATTTTAGTTTAGAGAATCACTACTTTTATATACATATACCACATTCTATGGCTTTCCATATCCCCAGTCGCTCAGTTCCATTCAGCTCTGAGTCATCACATTCTATTCCATCCTGTTCTATTCTATCTGACTCTGGTCTGTTCTGTTTTAACCATTAGATTCTACATCTTTATGATCCACAATAACCAGATGCAGGGGTGGTTATGTCATCAATCACGACATTTATTGCCGTTCATGTAGGTAGCAATTAGCTCTCAGAGCTTATCTACCCGTTTCACGTCTGAATAGATGTTGGGTCCTTCCTGTCACAAAAAAGATTTAATTTTCATTTTCATTTTCATTTTCATTTTCATTTTCATTTTCATTTTCATTTTCATTTTCATTTTCATTTTCATTTTCATTTTCATTTTCATTTTCATTTTCATTTTCATTTTCATTTTCATTTTCATTTTCATTTTCATTTTCATTTTCATTTTCATTTTCATTTTCATTTTCATTTTCATTTTCATTTTCATTTTCATTTTCATTTTCATTTTCATTTTCATTTTCATTTTCATTTTCATTTTCATTTTCATTTTCATTTTCATTTTCATTTTCATTTTCATTTTCATTTTCATTTTCATTTTCATTTTCATTTTCATTTTCATTTTCATTTTCATTTTCATTTTCATTTTCATTTTCATTTTCTACACTTTGAGTGTAACTTACTAATTGTAGGCTAACCGCATTTAGTATTCTATGTTACATTACGTAGCCTGCTACTTTTAGGATCCACATCCATACGAATTAATCACCAATTAGTCAGCTGATCCTGTCCGATAAGCCCAACGGCTCGAGTTCGCTAAATCTACTTCAGTGGAACTCAAAAATGTAATTAGGGTTGGATGGTGCAGTGGTACACCATCCGGGCCATTCTCCCAAGTTGATACTAGTTAGCTTGAAAATCTATTCCATTTGAGACAGGAGACAGCTGGTTCGAATCCAGTAAGATCTACACACCACTCTCTCTCGCGGTGACATTGTACTAATGGGATGATGAAAGCACACCCGGATGGTCACATGTATTTCACGGTCTTCCCCGTAGTGGCTATGCACGGAAGAGATTATACGGCGTAAGGGTTAACCTCGATTGGTATCTGCAAATGAAATCTGAGTGTGCGTGTTCTAATCGTCAAATTATGTCATCCTACTTAAAGTACATATCTTCCGATAAAAACCTGCATGGGCATCATGGCGCGAAATCAGGATAATGAATATTTTATTTAAATGTAAATTAAAGTGGATTGTCTGGGGCTCCCACATAAAGCATATTGTACAAAAGTCACACACCCAAGTACAGGCGATAAGTAGATTAACGCAATCAACTTGGGGTGCAACATTCAAGAAATCAAAGCTTTTGTACAGCGCAATTGTGAGACCAGCCCTGACTTACGGGTGTGCAATATGGGCTGCGGCTGGGCCAACAGGTAGAATACCAGAAAGGATTTTTAAACCATTGCGAAGTATCCAACGAAAATGCTTGAAGCTAGTCACAGGGGCATATAATTCCACCAGCAGTAGGGCTCTAGACCACGAATGCTCAATCCTTCCACTTGACATCTACCTCAAACAAATGAGAGTTCAACATATCGGACTTTCGGAAAGACAACCCATCAAGCAGACGATTCTATCCGCATGTAGCAAAATATCACAGGCTTATAGCCTGAGCGAAAATAGCCACGCAAAAAATCGAAGCCAAGACACTAGCGAGTGGAATAAAATCTGCGGGAACGAAAAAGTGAGGCGTAGACAAAAAGAAGCGGGCAAGATAGGAGCGTTCCAGGACTGGGAAACCGCATGGAATACTTTTAAGGAAGAACGACTATCTTCTCATCAGGCGTCAGCAGACCCAGAACTTTGGACAGCAGCAAGTATAAGCACCGACAAGAAAACAGGTAGAAAAAGAATCACCTACAGAAACACACCCTCTAACATCCACCGAAACCTGAGCAGGGCCCAAAGTAGTATTGCAATACAAATAAGAAGTGAGCATATCGGCCTCAACTCTTATCTTTATAGAAGAAAGGTCCCTGGAGTGGCAAATCCAAAGTGCCAGTGTGGATATCCGTCACAAAACGTGAAACATATGGTCATGGCTTGTCCTCAGTGGGCTAAGGGAAGAGGAGAGGTGCTGCAACGGGCAAAAGATAGGTCTTTCGAAGCTATGATGAACAGCCCGGAAGACATGAAGAGAATTACGGATTGGATACTTACAAACGGCTGGCTTGAACAGTTCCGGCTTGCAGAAGAAGTTGAGACAGCAGTCAGCGAAAGGATTGAGCGATCGGGAAAATGATAGGAAGATATTCACACTGGACGTACAGTGTAAGCGCACTTCCTGTAGGAAACCTCGGAAATCATATAGACACGAGACAGACAGTTGTGGGGGGTTTTTACCAAATATGGTTTCCTCCTGTGTAAATATTATAGCTAGATATCCCTGCATGGGCCCATAGGGTACCTGAACGGGCTAAATGAAATCAAATCAAAGTGGATTGTCAGTAAATCTAGGACATGATACGTGTTGGTGGACAGATATCGCAAAGTTAAGTTATTGTGAAGGTCATTTCGCCGCTACTCGAAGTCTGTTCGCCCTGATTAATAAAAGGTGAATGAGTACCCGTATTCCTGGCTCAGATCAGATTATTGATTTCCAATAAGCTTTGATATACCCCCTGACTTGCTCCGCATTTTTTTTTCTTTTTGCATTATATCTATTTTTCGCGCCCCAGTTGGTATAAGTCGAAAAAGTGACTCACGCATATCAATTTCAGTTATCTTTGGAAAACTATTCATTTGATCTCGTTAATATTCAATGAGAGCTAAAAAGACTATGATACTATAATTTTACAAGACTGGTAACTTTGCACCAGATGAGGATCTACAGTTCGTCGTGCTCTTCTACCTTCTCCTCAGATCCAACCTCAGAGGTAGCATCAGATGTTGTATCAGATTCAGTAGACTCTTCTGATGTAGAATCAGCTGAATCTTCTTCAAACATTTCACTCAATTCATCTTCGTCAATCTCAATCGGCTCTAGATCTTCTTCTTCCTCTTTTGAGGCTTCTAGCTTGTCTTTCATTTCCTTGGTATATTCGACTGACATTTGGTGTGTGCCTTCCTTCACGAATTCGATGAGGTCTTCAACAGTGCGACCACCTTTGAAAGTGATTGGATTGCTCTTATCACCAGCCTTAAAGAGTTTAATGGTAGGGAATCCATCAATTTCATCAGGTATGTCATTGGCAGTTGCGTCAACCTTTGCAATAACAACTTTGTCGTTGAGTCCTGCTTGGGAGTAGAGTTGGCCAAGGATATCATATTTTGGAGCGAGTGCCTTGCAGTAGCCACACCAAGGAGCATAAATTTCCAAGATTACATCTTTGGTATCATCCAAAACTATTTCCTCATAGTTTTTGGCTACAACAACTGTCACTGGGCCGTCCTGTGTTTCTGGAACCTCCTCAGATTTGATGACGGGGTCAAGCTTCCCCTCTACGAAAGTTGATGCATGTTTCCCAATTGTCTCGGCATCAATAACGAGTTCTTGGTCGTAAGGATATTTTTTGTTGTCGGTCATATTGTGTATGGCGAAAGCTGGAAACTTTTCGGCCTTGAGATTGAGATTTACGGCATGACCGCCGAATGCTTTTGCATCAATAGTGGCAAAGTTGATCTTTCCCTTGTGTTGTTCCGCGACAGGCCTTAGGATTTCCGAAAGAGATTTGCGTTCCTCCTCCGTCTCAGCGAAAATATAGGCAAGGGGGATACCGGTGCTCATGTAATTGGCGTATGTCTCAGGCCCCACTTCTCCGATCAAGGGTAGGGAAGATACGGTGACGAATTTTTCGATATTTTCGGCGTTGAACTCCTCAGAGAGTATAACTTTACCCTCATCAAAGCTCTTGTATAGAATAACTGCTGGAGCAGTCACCCCTTCAGTCTTGGCTAGATCAGCGTCAAAATTGGCACCAAAAAGAAATTCATCCCGGAGTTTCTCGGCTACAGTAGAAAATGTTACGTTCGAAGCCATATCGTCGGCATTGTAGAAAGCGACAACCACAACCTTGTCGGCAGATTTAAAGTCTTCCAACATCTCATTTTTCAAAATCGATACTGCTGGGAGGGATTGCTTCGTCATGTGAGATATGATGCTGTGACTATTAGTTTTGTCCATAATTCATTGTTTGATAATACTAACGCTGGTGCCTTTCTTGCGCCCTGATAGAGGGAGACGTTTTCTAGACCCTTAAAGACTTTCAACGTCGGATATCCCTCTACGCCTTGTTCTTTGCATAGATCAGATTCATCGACACAGTCAATTTGGACTAATTTAATGTTTTTCTCCTTTAACGCCTTCGCGGCCTCTTCGTACTCAGGTGCAAGCGCTTTGCAGTGACCACTGTTTCAACAATGTTAGTCTTCGCCTCTATTATAATTATCCTTGGTCATCATACCACCAGGGCTACATTAAGACAATTAAGATTAGCAATTTATAGGTACATATATCAGGAAGGTTAACATACAGCAAAAACTATTATATTTCAGTTAGCTATTGTAGATCAGGTAAAAAGAATATGAAGGTAAAGCTTACACTCTGCGAGTACTAGTTCATTTTCGTTGATAAATTCCGTGAAGGTTTTTTTTGTGAGCGTAGTAACTTCAGATGTCCCAGCTGATACTATTGCAGCTCCACCGATAAGGCTGAAAATGAAAGTTGAGAAGTTCCGCATGTTGAAAACTTGGAGATCTAGCTTGAGTAAATTTGGGTACTCCCACTAATGATTTCGAACTCACAGTGACAAGTGCTGTTGATGTTGGGCCGTCGACAGAAATGCGGCAAGTTTGTAGAGTCTCTGGAAGTCACCTTTAGGTGTTATATAGACAATGGCGATTGCTTGTCCAAAAGTCCTTGCCAATTTCTTGAGACTTCGCTTGCTCGGACAGCACCATAAAAAGAACATGAGATCTGTCAAATACCGAGTCGCTGAAAGGAGTTAGCTAAGCCCCATCGGTTAATTGTGGAACCAGCTCAGATACCGTTGGCAATTTACTAAAGTGTCAAAATGTCTTACCCTAAGTGGCTAAGTGTCCATCGAATGAGTTAAATTACGATACAAACCAATTGCCAAGTATCTAAGTGGGGCTCTAAAGACCTCAGATGGTGCCATCGATTGATACTCATTATAAGCGGTGATTTCATGTCCACTCCGAAACTGCAACCATAGAGTTAGTACCTGAATATCTGGTTGAGTCATGGTGAGTAGCAACAACCATTTAATTATTGAAATTTACCTCAGTTATGTGGATTATATGACGCGGTATCCTGTAATTTTCTCACGCACTCTGCGTATCATCGCGGCTTACTACACCTTCCTCTTGTCTATCTTAATATCTAACTGATTTGAAGTCCTCCTCGACTCGTATCAGCTTGGATAAAATTAAAATTGACTACGAAACACAGTTTCCTCAGATTTAGTGAGTCGTAGCCACCTATTGTGGACCAGCCATCACTACAGGGTAATCACTCGAGTCTAAAGGGTTTCGACGCGGAGCACTGCATTCTTCCATCGTGTGTCGGAAATACACATACATACTACTGCAATTAGAAAGGGCCACACTCTACCACCAAGGGTTTAATTGAAAAATCTAGATCAATAGGTTTGAATGAGAGACAGAAATGACTCGAACTACATTTGATTTTAGGTCAATGAAATAAGATGTTATCCCTACCTGAAGTTTGCACAGTACACTTTGAAATCACCAATAGAGACTGATTTTGACGAGGCTATAAACTGTCTTCAAAATGACAATTTCATCCTTGATTGTTTGTTGCTATACCTTAAGACAACCCATGCTTGATTATTCTTGGCAAGCACCTCAAGGATTTATGCCCTGGCTGAAAAATATGGAGGATATCCATGACCTTTTGCTGGCCAATGGTAAGCAAGAATGAGCGATTGACAATTTGGCTGGTCTCATTTAAGGAGTAAAATAGTATTTAACCGATAATCTAAGGATTATGAGGGCGGCAAAGACGGAGTCTTTACCTTCCGATGGTGCCGGTGTGATAGCTCTTTATGCTCTGCATTTCTATGATAGCCAAGACAAATTTCATCCGAATTAACGTCGAAAGGAATAACAAGTATATCTAAGATCAAGGACATCTCGTCAATTTCCGACCTATCTTTCTCATGCGAATCGATCAACTTACTCATACCGCAAACAAACTCGCCTCAACTTTCGATAATAGCGTTACTCTAATTGCAATCGGCCATTTCCCACTAAAAATTTACGAAGCAACGAATACCCGCGAGGGGGGCAAGACTGAACACCTGTACGCGGTGTCCTCTACGAACTTGGGAGTGAAATATTCTCCCAGAGCCAAGTTCAGTCAAATTTCGCAATGCCGAACAAGTTGGCCCACGAGGCAATGATTCATATTACTCCACCACGTCAAATTTTCAGACCAAACGAGATCGATTCCTACCTAAGCTTCATCAAGTCTACAAGTACGACCTAGTACATCCTTATTCCAATGATCACACTTCTCGTCGACTTTTTCTGGTCTCAGCAGGTCACCAAATATACGCCCACGCCGATATTTATACCCGACGGAGGAAGCAAAGCGTGGCGCACAAATCTGAGAGATAGCTCTTTGGGATTGGCGTGAGAGGATTAGGGACAAGTTAACAAGATGATGCAACGAATGGATACAGTCTCGACGGGCGTGGAATTTTGAATTTTGGCAAGAGTTTTACGAATTCAGCTTTGTGCGTGCCAAGTCTTCGGTTGCGAGAGTGCAGACGACACTATAAACATCGCTATGGTTGGATGGCGCGGTGGTACATCATCTTGGCCGGTCTGCCAAGTAGAGTCTATATAGCTTGGACACACATCCCACTCGAGACAGTAGATCGCTGGTTCAAATCCAGCAAAATACAACCACATTTCTCGCGGCGCTGGTATGCATGGGTGACGAAGGCATGCTTGGATAACCAAAGGTTTTTAAATTCCCTTTGGTGGGTGCTAACGGAGGAGGGTCGACTGTTTGTGTAAGCGAACATAACTCATAGTGGTATTTCCAAATGAAATCCAGAGTATGAGTTTCTCTAACGTCAAAAGAGTCATCCAACATGTATACATAGTACCGGTCATGTGTCACAGCTAGATAGCTGAATACACATTGAATGATTTAAAAAAAAAAAAAAGAATACCCGCGAGGAGGAAGTTAAGTCCTTAACTACAAAGCTCGGGTTTTGGTCTATGGGGAACCGTTGCTCTAATGTGGCTTCATATTCTGAGGAAGGACAGGTAGCTGGGACGTGGAATGAACGAGTGAAATGTCACAAATGGGCATGCCTGGAGGTACATTTTTTGAGTGTTTTCGAATTACGAGTGCTATAGTTGGACTTGCTGGGGCACTTGGAGGTAGCCTGACAGAATAATATGGGATTACGTGATAATATATAACGGGGACCTGGGTCGGACTAAAGTGGAGCCGCGGCCGAGCTTACGTCAAGCTCGTAGCTTCCATCACCTTCCATTTTTTCTTATTTCACCCGCCTATACATCGTAGCTTAATGTTCTAATGCAACATCTCCATGGAGACCCGTATCATCCTCATGTCATTCGTAACAACTAGTGTCTGTGAGTTCAGAGGCAACGATTTTGAGTAGTGCAACCGACACTCCAAAATTAGGAAACGATGGAAGGTGTTTTGGTCCGCCTCCTGGTCGTCATCTCCCCGAATTAAAGCCTGAGTAGCCTGGACACCTACCTCACTCGAGAAAGGGAGGACTGTGAGGCCATATCTAGCGCGGCGGCTGTATACAAGATGGCAAAGGCATGTTAGGGTAGTCAAATGTTATTCCTGTTTTCACTTTGGCGGATATTTGCGGTTGAGGGAAGAGTGAGAGTCCCTATCACAAACGTCTCGAGTGGTATCAGCGAGTGCACCCACTGCATGAGTAGTCCAAATGTCAAACTCAGTAATCGTCGTATATCGTTGTCGGGGAAAGACTAGCCTTCTCCGTGTTAAGCTCTGCGAGTGCTAGGCTTGTGCCTGTCACGAGTAAATATTCATTCATTCTAAGGATTTGATTTGCTATTCTAATCTCTACCAGAACTGGCTTTTTCTCATATTGAGTATCACTGATCGCAATTAAGCTTTGAATTTGTCACGAGAATGAAAACCCTGTGGTACAGTCTTTTTTTTCAGTATGCCACTGATAACAACTTGAAAACATAGTCTTAAATGGGATTGTCTTTGTTTCTAAATTCGAAGTGGATCATATTTGCAAATCACTAAAATCGGTAGATAAATAAATCTGATATATCGATGAGATAATTAGATCTAAGTAGCCACACTCAGCTGAAAAACTGAGTCAAGAATATCAATTCTCACATCAGATTCAATTTCATCGATATATAAAGGCACGTTTCTAAAATACAGCACCACTAGTTATGAATAGTCGCTGCTCTTGGGTCTTGATCCATTGAATTACTTGACTCGCTGCCTCTGTTAATTCTGCCTCAGATGTTCTAGGGCCTGAAATACAATAAAATTCGAAGGTCGGTGTAGTCCAACCAAGAGAGACATAATTGCTACCAACGTAGTGAAGCGCTTTTAGGTGTGAATTTTTAGCATGTATTGATGCATGCATTTTATGGTATATTATCATGAGCCTAGCCATATTAATTATTTCAAATGGGAATAGAGGCTTTCACGTTACCTTCGGTGGGCACAAAGATCAATAAAGTCAGGGGCAAAATCAGGCATAACGAATTGCACGTTGGGACGAGATTTATAAAGAAAATGCTTTAGACTGGTGCCGGACGGGGATCTAGTTGGGCCGGGGCGGCCTTTGCGGACTGCAGATTTTATAACTTCGAAACTACTATTGCTTTTGAGCTCCCTGACTATTTGATTCCGCGTCTCTCTTTGATCATGGAAACTCTCTTTGTATGTACTAATTAGAATTATTGCAACTTCACTTTCTGTGCTATTATTTATGCTTGTGGGTAGACCTTCATAAACATCATCCACAAGGGAATTCAAAAAGCTCACGTACATATAAAGATATCCTTTATTATTGAAGCCAGGGAGACAGATTGGAATCCAGTTTTCCCCACCTCCGGCCCTGACACCTTTGGCCTCGAAAATCATGTTGAATATTAGTTGAAGGTCGCTCGGGTGGAGAGAGTGACGCTTAGGCCGTACAACACTGACAAGTCTATTTCCAGCAACCAAGAGGCCATAGAGGAGTTTTTCGCTTCGACAATTTAGGAGTGTGTTGTTGATGATAGTTCGCTCAGATTCTCGCAAATTCAAACACTCCAATGCGGAAAGAAGAGCTGATGGGGATCCTTTTGTAAAGGAGTCTGCAAGTGATGATAAAAGGGTTTCGGTCCCTTCTAGTGGACGCCGGAGGTCCGTATTTGGTCGATTGGCAAATAGGTGACTGAGAGTGGGTAGCGTTAAAGTTGATAGAATCTGCATATATAAAGCTTCCAATTGGACCCGGAGTTGAGAATCGCTCTCCCCTAGTCTACTGATTGCTACGAAGTATAGTGGCCCGTAGATAGATATGGCAAATCTAACATCTCCGGCCACAAATCCCATTAATGAGTCATTGTAATTCTGAAAATATGAAATTATTGTATGAATTATACCGATGTAGCTGTTGATTAAACTCTGGTCGCCATGTCTGCTGAAGATAGGTTTTCCAGCTGAAGAAAGGATAAAATAATGTTTAAATTTGGATTTCCATTTCATCATAATAAAATCTTCACTCTTATTATCAGTTTCAACTACATCATTTTCACTAAATTCATGTTCAAAGTCGTGAAGCGATATATCTTCTAGTGCGGTAGAGACTGAAATATCCATGCTATCACATTTCAAACTTGGCGTATGGTAGTCTGTCATTTCTTTGCATTTCCTTCCGTCTTGCGAATTTTCAAGTCTTCTTTGAGCTAGGTGATGAAATGAGGCCTCAATATCAATACTGTTGTTATCCACTCTGCTTTCGCAAAAAAAGACTTCGATACTTCGCGCTGGCCGTAGGTCCTAGAAATTGAGGAAGTGTACCACCTATTGCGTTAAAAGGTGTTTTATTCGCTCCTTTGTGTGAGGCATGTCTTAGGGTTCTGACTGATAATTTTTGAGCCGCTGAAAGGCGTGATTGGGCATGATCTTGGTACTGATTTCTTTGTGATAAGTCCAATTATTAGTTTATTGGAGAAAATTAGGCATCTCAAACTAGGCCTGAATACACGGGAGAAGCCAACATATCTTTTTAGGGTTTTCTTATCAAGCCCTTTAGAAGCACGTTATTCGAAGAATGCGAATGCGTCTTGGTGACGAGGCTGAAAGGCTTATTACAAACTCACTACATGACACCATGCGGATTCAAACGCATATTGAGAACTGTACAAATCCAACGTGCTAAATTGCTTGAATTTTACCTGAATGAAACCTAAGAGCAAGAAGTATGGCGATAGAGCCATCAGTTTCTCTGGAGTCTGGCTCTGGCAGAGCTTCGCCTGTGATTCGGAAGCTGCGGAACCGACTCGGTGCTGGTAGGACCCTATCAATGTTTTCTCTGATCTCTACTAATTAAAACTTAGATGACACTCAAAACAAAGATAAAGCTTTTCGAAGGTACGCCTCAAGTGTTGACAGGTCGCTCTCCCTATTTGAAACTGCTTTACAAGAGTGGGCAGACTACATTTCATTTCTATCTAGATTGCTGAAGGTATGACAAAAGACTATGGAGGATATCTAGATACTGAAGAAAATAGTCATTGCAGTCTCATCCGCCAGCTTGTACTCAGGTACCATCAAAAGCGCTTGTAGCCAAAAGATTGGCGCAGTGCTTGAATCCTTCGCTACCCTCAGGGGTTCACCAGAAAACACTTGAAGTCTACAACTTCATTTTTTCCATGATCGGAAAAGATATACTTTCAAAAGATCTTCCTCTTTATCTACCAGGCCTATCATCAACTCTATCTTTTGCATCCTTATCAGTGCGAAAGCCGTTTCTTGAGCTTATTGAAAAGTATATACTTGTATTAGATCCGCGATCCATAAGACCTGCGCTCAAGTCTATATTGTTGGCCCTTTTACCGGGACTTGAGGAAGAAACAAGCGAGGAATTTGAACGAACTCTACACCTTATCGATTGTCTTAAAATTGTTATACGTCCTCCTGATTCAGAAGAACTTGAACATGGCCACAATAGTGGGGATTGGTTCTTTTGGCAAGGCTTCTTCCTTGCATCAATTACAAGCAAAAATCGTCGTGTGGGAGCCTTAGCATACCTGACTCGAAACTTACCAAAACTAGGTTGGATACCACTTTGTGAACCACCTGGGACCCAAAAAAATCAAGTGCAATCAAAGGAAGTGGCCGAAAAGTTTAAGCTTCTTTCTAATATAGTAATATCGCCTGAACCTGGACTGTTGATAAGGTGTTTTGCTGCTGGACTTGCCGATGAACAGCTCCTGACCCAACGTGGATTCTTAGACCTTCTAGTATCTCACTTGCCTTTGCACTCTCCAGTATTACAAAAAGGAGTGAAAGATGAAGATCTAGAACTTCTTGTCACAGCTGCAGCAAAAATCGTTTCACGACGAGAGATGAATCTTAATAGGAGACTTTGGTGCTGGCTACTTGGGTCCCAACAATCAAGTCACGAGCAAGGTGGAGTAATGGATTCTCCAAGCTCTACAGGAGGTGAACCACAACAGGCTCAGTCATCTAGAACTCACTACTTTGAAAAGTATGGGCTTTACCCATTGACAAATTCTCTCTTAAAGCTGATAGCGAGTGAATCAATCAACTCTACAGAGAGAGCTCGCCCCTTCAGGATATGCCTGTCACTAATGGATAAATGGGAAATAGGTGGTCTCCTAATTCCTGATATATTCCTTCCAATTATCGATAGCGCTCGTAGATACAAGAATCAGGCTTCCTCGAAAGCTGATTTTTCTGAGGTCTTGCGCAGTGCTAGCGTTTTCTTTGATGGTGTTCAGAGCAGTTTAATTTGGGGTGAAATAATAGGACTTATCGAATTAGCCATTGGCGTTGGGAAGTTGTCGGTTCATGAAAGAATGGAGAAACTGGCGCTAATAAAATTTATAATTACGCATTTTAATGTGCGGGAGGAAGAAATGCTACTAGTACATGCGCCGCTTACAGTCTTAACGATTTTGACTATACTTGATTCAGAGGAAAATAGGAATATTCAATCACAGGATCTTGATATATCTGAGGATGTGATGAAAGGTGCGCTCGATCTTTGCACAGAGCTCGTTGACCTTATACATGAAAGAGTTTTCCAGACTAAATCCTCGTTTTCATCATCTCCATCTCACGATCAGGAGAATTTGCGAAACCTAGCTCCTTCAAATACACTCCAGATAATAAAAAATTTCTATAGTCAGGATCAAGAAAATCTTGATGCATCTCCTCCATATTCTTCTAACGAGATCACGAAGCTTATTATGACAAATGCTTGTGCAATAACATGTCGAACATTTTCTGAATCAACGCCAACTGATGATTCAGGTATCAGGGTACAGCTATTGGTAAGTTTACTGTCAAAGGTACCTCGATTTTATGACTTCAACACATCCGACCTGTTTTTAGCTATGGCCGAAAAGCTAGCTGCACCTGTTCAACTCCCGTTTTTAGCTTTCACTTCAATAACTTCTCTTGCTTCAATTCTTTACACTTCATCTTACATTACACAAAAAAATCTATCTGAGTTAGTAGAACCATTCGTTCGAAGAGCGTGGTACTTTATGTCTGCATCTAATCCTAAATACCATGTTGAGACTGTCCAGAGTTTATGGCAACTTCAGACTGCACTGTCCTTATCTAATCGCGAAATTGAGGCTGCTATATGCACTCTCATGATTGAGAAAGATCTTAAAAAAGAATACATCGCGCAGGAATTAAGTCCTAGTAGAAGTTTTGGTGTTCTATGGACACATACTCTTCATGATATTCCAGCGCATACAGATCGTCGCTCATCGAAAATCTCACGCTTAGAGCATAAAGATGACCCCCGGTTCTCTGGTGTGGACTACTTTGAAGTCATGCTTAGCAGGCCTCTCTTCTTACTATTAGATGCTCTTGCAGATGAGGGAGCACATCTATTTATGTCCGTTAGGATATGGATACAAAATCTGACTGGCATTGACAAGTAAGTTCTACTTCTTAACTAAAACTTTTAATATTGCTAAATTGTCAGGCTCTTTTATATATTCGTTACAAAATTGGCTGGATTTGACTTTCTAAAATGGAGACTAGATGATTTATTTGATAAAGCTGAGTCTCCAATAGTAGAAAATCTAGTTTACAAGAGCAAAGATGACTTGGAGCAATGCCTTTATTACTTCAAAACACTGTCAAATGTTATGCGATGGTCTCCCGAAAATATCTGGTCGATTCTTGCGATGAAACAAACACCTATCAAAATTGATAAAATATGGTCAAGAGGTAAGTAGCTTTGTAGGTCTGATCGGTGGATTAGTATATCTAATTACTTGCTAGTCGAAACGGAAGGGGGAACTACTTTACTGGAATTCATTATGTACGCTTGTTTGAATGCTATCCGTGGAACATACGACAAAGAGAATCCTAAATTATGGAATCAGGTAAATCGTTTCCATAGAGCTTCACTGAATGTGCTTCATCAGATTTTAATCTGTCCATATGCATTATCATTAGTAAATCTTCAGTTGGAAAATTGTTTGATCGAGCGCCTGACGCAGTCCTTGGACGAGTCTGATCCCTACATCCAGGTCTTACTCCTAGATGTTGTTTATGCTGCATTAAAGCTACGGAATACAGTACATTCTACACCAAAGTCATCTAGCTCAATTTCAGACGCCAAGCATACCAATAGCATGCCTCAAACTACGCAGAAAACAATACAGCTTCAAATTACTCCCGAAAACGCAGACTCGTCTCTTTTCCCACAGTCTTTTCCCCCAAAAAATCTTGTGAAATGTTTGCAGGCTGGATTTACTGCAAGTAGCAGCCGTATTGTCCTAGATAGCTGGGTTGGTTTTTTGGCCCAGTGCCTTCCATTATATGCAGACGGTATTTTTCAGATACTTATACCACTTGTTGAGACTCTCTGCTCTCAGATTGTTGACACGTTTTCTAGCTTGCAGAAAATATTCAGGAAAGATGTCTTTGATATCAAAGACACATATGCCCCTGACTCAACATTAATATCATTAATAAATGGGCTAGAACATGTGCTAGAGCGCGGCCATGACCGTCTTCTACAAGATGAATTGAATATTCCACACGTGAAAAGCCCGGATCAACCTCAAGGCTTTTTTGGAAATATGGTATCTGGTGTTTTCACATCAGATACCTCTCAGTCTAGAAGTGCTACCGCGAATCACCGTCTTACAATTCTTTTAATTTTCCAAGACGCTGTCAAGATATGTTTTATGATTTGGTCTTGGAAGGAGGATGATCTACCAGACCAGGACCTTGACTCTGCTTCTTCTTTTAATTTTATTTCTCTACGAATGCGAAACCGAGCACGAAGACTTCTTGAGCATATGTTTGCTGTCGAAGCTCCCGAATGTCTCGAGACAATGATTGAAATTTGGCGCAAACCAAACGAAAGCATGAATAAAAATCAATCGCTCGCAGTCTTCAATCTTCTCCATGTTCTCGATGGCTCAAGACCTAAGCTTACAATACCTGCTATTCTGAATGCGATATACAGTCGCACAAATCCCTTGGCACTTGAAACAAATAGAAAGTCAACGTTGACGTCATCACTAAACGATTCAGACTTAATAGTTTTTCTTGTCGAATACGCCAAAACACTCGAAGATGACGCCATGGATGAAATATGGGAAGATTGTATGGCTTTTCTGAAAGATTTATTGTCAAATCCCTTCCCTCATCGACAAACACTTCCAAGCTTGTTGGAGTTTGCAGCTATTCTGGGAGAGAAAGTCGACAACACAAATTTTGGTGAGCAACGAAAAATGAGAAGAGAGCTTGGTGTAAGCATAAAGCGAAAAATTTATTGATTTTGTCTAACTCTTGATTCAGGATGTATTCCTCCGGTTACTGACTGCAGTATTCACTACAAGGCCTATTGGGTTCCTTGAAGGTGGTCCGGAAAATGACGAACGGTCAGGATCGTTATTATCTCGACCTTCAAGAGCTGACGATATTGTGGCAATACTTTCTGACATTGCACCAAACTTAACAAAAATTCTTGTTGAACCAGACCGTGTTCTAAACGCAACTGTTACCATATCAAATAGCGTAATTGTACCTACCTTTAAATCTAAATTGTTCCCGGATAGCGTCTCAAAAAACACTTTGGAACTCATGAATAAGATTGCCAAACTTCCACATAATCAAAAGCAGTGGAAAAAAGATTTAGGGGACGCATTTAATGATCCAAGGTTCTTTTCAAGTCCTGTCAGTCTAGTAAATAGCGATTGGCTTCCACTTATGAAGTTGTGGACTATGAACGATAAAGACAAAATGCCTGAATTACTCTCTCGTCTTGTTCCTCCAACAACAGCGGGTATTGTTTTTGGGGTCGGGGCTTCCTCGACTAGATACGAGACAGACCGTAAAGCTCAGTTGAATCTACGTCGTATATCTATCCTATTTCTTGCCGCAATGGAAGATAATTTTGTTAAAGACATTCCTTTAATTCAAGAAAAGATTGTAGAGCTACTCTCTGCAACATCTACTACCTCGCCATCGTCTTTGACGCGCGCAGATATTTATATTTTGATACGCGCATTATCTCTTAAAACCTCAGCTGTTCACCTAGCCACCTTATGGCCAATTATCAATGCAGAACTACATTCTGCAATAAGTTCTGTTGTTGCATCTGAGAATACGACAGTATCCCTTACTTACAAAAATTACTCTATTTTCCAGGCATGTAAATTGCTAGATACTCTAATCTGCATAGCACCAGACGATTTTCAGCTACACGAGTGGCTTTATATTACTGACACCATTGACGCCGTATATAAACCCTTAGATTTCGAGCCTGTTGCGCTTATTGACGAAATCTCATATGAGCTAGGATCAACCGTAAATTCAGGGTTTACTCTCCCCAAATTAGCAGTTAATCAACCTGAGAATGTGAAAGTACGGAGACCATTACTTGGGACGGGAAGAATGGTTGATGCGGTCTGTTGGGAGAGAAAAGATGATTTAGTTAAAAACGTCCTTGGACCATTTTTCAGTCAACTCAGCATTTTCGCATTCGAGGCCACCTATAGCATGAATATTCCAGATTGGGAAACATGCCGAGCTGAGTTGTTAGAGGACATATTTGATGATAGAAGTATTGCTAGAACCTTGTAAATGTACACCTTAAACGTTACACCTGAAACGGTACTCTCTGATGGTAAAAATTTTACCCTAATGTAATTCCTACCCACGGTAATTAATTTTTTGATTCTAGGCTTAATTTATCTAGAATTATTTGTGGAGTAATAATACTCCAGCTTGACTTAACAAAATTATTAAATCTAATGTGCTTCGGGAGTGGCTACTGAATGAAACAATGACCGTCATGTCTTTGTTGTGGAAATAATTTTTGTGGCAGTTGATGCTTGGCGCTTCTCGTTTCCAGCTAGATTAACTGAAGCGCAGGTATGAAAGCCACCATAGCTTTGCTAGCACCTTGCATGCAATACTGCACTACCTCTATCTTTGGATTATTAGGACCTAAGCATGCAATTTGACGCAAGTCACTAGTCCGCGGCAAATATATTGCAGTATCAACATGTTTAGTAACCTCGTAAATTTGGAGGAGAGAATAAGGCTGCATCGTATCTAGGTCAAAAATGGCATCACAACTGTAAGATGGTCCGCCCCAAGGTGGACTAGCGAAGATGACGACTTCGTTTGGATTGAGGATATAAGAGCTGTGAGATAAATAGTCAAAGGCATCGGCGTAGATCCAGGTGATGCGATCTTGTACCCCGTAAATTTTAGCATTGTGATATGCGCACGCAAGTACGGCAGCATCCTTTTCGATGGCAATAATACGACTCCAGCATTGAGTGCGAGCAAAAGCGATAACATTCCCGCCAGCACCTGCAAACATGTCGATTAGTGTGCGCTGCTCTGGCCGTCTATTTGACGCCAGATCTTGAGCAACTTGCCTAGTGGACTAGTGAGCCACCAAGAAGACAGTTGACTAGAGCATAAGAGTAACTCACTGAGCAACAGGTTCGGGCGTGACACCAAACCAAGCGTCATCTGTCATTCGGATGCCTTCGTCGTAGCGTGAAAATATTTGGTGACGCTGCTGCCAATATCTTGCGCAGGTTAGCTAAAAAGTTTAAGGGCAGCGCCGGAAGCAAAAAGAAACACACACTTTTGAATGTCCCAAGCCACTTGATTCAAGCTCGTGTAATGGTGGCAGTCAAGTGTAAGGGCGAACGCCGTGTCGGGTGGATCATCCTCTTCAGTACCGTTGGTATCTATTGATTTATTCGCATAACATTCGAGTGCCGCTTGGGGATGAGCGCGCCTTTGCGCTCTTACTTCCATGGTCTAGTAATGACACTGACAAAGTTATCTGATATGGCTTCTGGAAACTAGCAGCAGCTCTTTCTGATCGCCTTCCTCACAACGCTCTAAACTCGAGATGATAGTTGAACTTAATGGTTGGTATGGTAGCAATCGACTCAATCCCTTGGGGTTTCCTTCTCGCGGATAAGGGATATTCTTTTCTGGTTCATTTTACCGGCCCCAGGTAAGCCTGGTTAAGATGATTTATCCCTGCGTCGGAATGTGAAAAGGCAACGTACGACAATAGTTTCGCGTGTAAACCTTCTGCTTTCAACCTGTAGTCTCTAGATTTAGTGGTGCCACTAGACACTACATTTGTACGCAATATACTCTACGAAATCAAGAGTCAAAATTCAGTCATCCAAAAACGTTTGAATTAATCGTTTCCTGGCGGAATCTCATCAGGAGCAGTGCTGGGCTGCATTTAACCGGAATTGCAGAGAATTCGCGACTTCATAAATCACGAAGAAAATTATAAAGGATATTAAAGCTGCCATCCGTTCAAGCTGAATATCGAACTCCTCTCTAACACATCAACCAATCTTTCAACTCCCTCTCTAATACCGAAAATTATGTGAAGAAACTCACGACGCTCTCTTCCAATAACGTTGTTGATGGTGAGTTATTAGAGGAAGCCAATCGTGGTTTGATGAGTGTGAATGTCCAATGAAGAAATTGAATCACATGAAGAGAAATGCACAAATTGCTGTGCCGCAAAAATTTTGGAAGTGGTTGGAATAAAGGACGGAAGAATGGGAGAGAGTTACTAAGAAGATTGGCAAAGGCAGTCATTTCTCCACCATTCCTTTAGATTTTGAGGCGCTGAACAATGATGAGGTCTCACTTTTTTATTAGCTGGGCTCTTTTGGGCATTTTTAGCGCTTGGCTGTCGTAGTCTAGTGTGCTGTACCGACACGACTTAGAGAAAATGAAATGGGACTCTAAAATTAAGTCCAAGTCCTTCCGTGTTACACTTGAAATTATTAACTGATATATCTCCTTATACTTTATGGATCCCAACTGATTGAAAACCGATCGTACACACTGTGCACTGATAATTGGCTCACGTGCTGCGGGACAAATACCTAAATAAGTTGGCGGTCTTGTTTTTGTTTTAACATTTTTGGTCCTAAGCTAAAGCTATCTTTTCCACATTGAGTAAAGTACCGGTGGCGCCGGCAGGGCTCCCTGTAATCTTTCCCACAGACTAACTCGTTCCAACCTCGTGAATCTCTGACAAAAGTTCAGCTGATCGAACCGAAATGAAAAATCACAAAAATCACAAAAATCAAAACAACTTCGAAATCCACAAGATTTTTTTCACATTGGACCCAAGCAATGTGCTCCTCATACATTACATCGTCCGTCACACCTTCCAAATGACAAATTTGCCCAACTCCGCTGAGAGCAAAAGATAGGTTAGCAGGCACCTTTGGTCCAGCCAGTATCTTGCTATTGGTTAGTAGATATCCTTTCCGGGACATCGTCGAGGTTGCTGTGTCCTCAAGCTTCTTTTTTAGATTCCAACACTCCGAAACCTGTTGCCTCGGCCATTGAGACATCCTTCGCTACGGCGATGAATGGCGATCTTGTGAACGAGTGAGTGAGTGTTTATTGTCCTAATGTGTTTACAACTATGTAAAGAAATATAGGTCCTTTCTACCTACAAGCCGGGAGTATCTATGCCTCGGATAGTGTACTCCCTATGCCTCTTCATGACCTCTTTCTAGCAGTAATACCCCCACAGGTCTTCATTCGAGTACACACTAAGAGGAGCCGTTCTCTCGTCATTATCTCCCCTCTCCACGGGCCGTTCCCCCAAGCAGATACTGGGTAGCTTGAACACCTTCCCCATTTGAGACTGGAGAAAGCTGGTTCGAATCCAGTTAGACCTACACATCACACTCTCTCGCAGTGATAATGTACTAGTGGGATGATGAAAGCACACTCGGATAGTCACTGGCTTTCACGCTTTTTCCTATGGTGGGTATTCACGGAAGAGGTTATACGACGAAAGGGTTAACCTCGAGTGGTATGTGTTGGAAATCTAGACTCAGTATGTATGAAAGTTAAGATTTCTAGTTATGATCATCAAGATCAATTGGAATGATTCGATTACATATGAATAAGCTTAGCTGGTCGGAGTTCAAGACTAAACACCTGTACGCGGTGTCCTCTATGAGCCTGGGAGTGAAATATTCTCCCAGAGCCAAGTTCAGTCAAATTTCGCAATACCGAACAAGTTGGCCCACGAGGCAATGATTCAAATTACTCCATCACGTCAAATTTTCATTCCAAAAAAAATCGAATCCTACCTAAGCCTCATCAAGTCTACAAGTACGACCTAGTACATCCTTATTCCAATGATCACACCTCTCGTCGACTTTCTCTGGCCTCAGCTGGTCACCAAATACACGCCCACGCCGATATTTATACCCGACGGAGGAAGCAAAGCGTGGAGCATATATCTGGGAGATAGCTCTTTGGGACGGACGTGAGAAGGATTAGGACAAGTTTACAAGATGATGCAGAAGAGGGATACATTCTCGACGGGCGTGAAATTTCGAATTTTGGAAAGAGTTTTACGAATTGAGCTTTAAGCGCGCCAAGACTTCGCTTGCGAGAGTGCAGCTGACACTATAAAAACAAGCAAACGATGGAAGGTGTTGTGGTCCGCCTCCTGGTGGTGTTCTCTGGTATAGTTTGAGTAGTATGGCACCTACTCCACTTGGGAAGGAGATGTCTAAGGCCATATTTCGCGCGGAGGAAAGATAATGGATGACAGAGGAATGTCTGGATAACTCAGGGGTTTGGAGACGTTCCCCAGGGTGGGTATTCACGAATGAGGGTTGACTTGGGGTGAAGAAAAAGCCACCATAACATCGCAATGGTACTTGCAAATGAAATCCGAGGCATGAGTGCTCCTCTTGTAAATTGAGTCATCTTTTCTATACTTTTCTTTGATATTGTGTCATAGCTAGATAGCTGCATACGCAATTAAAATCTGATGCAAAAAAAACTCGATAATGAAACAGTGTCTAATATGTATGATAAGGGGACTGAGTGGTGCAGTGGTACACTATTCGGGCCAACCTCCCAAGTAGGTACCGGGTAACATGAACATCTACCCCATGTGTGACAGGATAAAGGTTGATTAAAATCTTGTAAAGCTCACACATACTCTCTGTCGCAGTGGAATTGAAGTTACAGTATAACCTCAGCACGTTCGGGTAACCACAGGTTATTCACGCCTTCCCCTGTGATGGGTATGCACCGAAGATGTTGTATGACGAAAGGGCTAACCTCGAATGGTGTCTGGAACCGAAAATTCGGTGTGAAAGTTCTAAAAGTCAAGAAAAACCACCTTACTCAAAGTACATGTCTTTCGTTTGGCCTGCACGGGACTTACAGTGCCAAATCAGGACTATTGAACCATTTACTCATTCATTTTTGTGTGGCACGGGCCGAAAATGATGATCCTGCAGCCAGGAGGTGGCGTGAGGGAGATGGTGCTGTATCCGTGGCCAGATGATCGCTCGCGCAACTCACATGCACCGCAATTCTAACAACCTACATCAGACTAGCAATTAATTGAAAAACTCAACTACCCTTACTCCGAACCTCGCAACAGACCTTGAAGTATCCTTCATCAGTTATGTTTAATGCGCTTAATCGGTTTATTTCCCGCCTAGACTCAGATACAGCGTCACAAAATTTTACTGATGGAGTCTATGGGTTCCAAGTACTCCGAAGCACAGCCTCCAATCTTGCCATTGAGCCATGGTTTGACTTTATTGTTGAAATCAACGGACGTCTGATAGTAAATCTAACCCTCTATTTCCGAAACCGTATCTCACAGTTTTAGGATAATCCAGACCCCAATCTGTTTGTGCAGGAGGTGCAAAATTGCGCTGGTAATACAGTGGCTCTTGGCCTATGGAGTGCAAAGGTAATAAGACCAAGTCACTCCTACCCACAATCTTCCGGACCATGAAAGCCGATGTTGCTTGTAGGGCCAACAAAATCGAACTATCCGTATTCCCATTCCGACAGCGCAAAGCTCACTCGGCTTGACACTGCAGTGGACCTCTATCAACACCGTCTCGCACATTTGGCACATACTTGACGTTCCGGAAAAATCCCCGGCAGATCTTGCGGGACTCCTACCCTACGGTGATTATATCATAGGAGCTCGTGATAGGAATTTTCTCGCCGAAATAAGTCTCGGAGAGCTAGTCGAAGAGCATATCGGCCAACCACTCTGTTTATACGTTTACAACAATGAATTTGATGTGACCCGCGAGGTAACCATCTATCCTAGCCGAGAATGGGGCGGAGAGGGCGCATTAGGATGCGTATTGGGGTATGGTGCGTTACACAGATTGCCAGCACCTCTCAATGAACCTATGGTTGAGCCAGGAGAGACACTTTTTGAGATCGAGCACGTTGGGTTTTCCGATTCTACAAATCCTACGACCGGAACAACGCAGCCTTACGAGCCAAGTGAATTATTAATCCCAGCGCAAATAGCAGCTTTTTCTAGTGCTCCGACGCCGGCAAAGAAACGAGAAAAACGACATGGAAACATCCAAAATTCCGCCTTTATTGATGATTACTTCACTGAGGGTGAGAAAAAGAGCAGAGAAATAGACCATGCTCCAGCAAGCTTGAAAAATTTACCACCACCGCCACAGTCCGGAGGCCCCCCTAAGGAAATCCTAGAAGAGAAACCTTTATTAGAAACTACTACTGAGAAACTGGCGGCGAAGATGGACACGTAAAGCAATATTGATATTGCTTGCCAAGCTTGTAATGAAACGATAGATTTTGTGCACTAACTTTTATTGTATAATGCATGTAAAATAATTACATGTTATACAGTGGCATAGTTTTGATCATTTGCTTATATGTTTTTTTGTGCGCGTCATTTATGTCGTACTAACTTAATGTTTTGATGGTTGAGTGACAATAATGTAGCGTCTCGTGCATAGACTAACAACTTCTCTAACCCTTATATATCCGTCTCAGAGTTCCCCGATGCTTAGGTGCCCACATGTAGTTTTTTAGTTGATAAAGTTCACGCAAAAAAAATGTAAAATCAAGCTTCCAAATACGTAGTCGGCAAATGCCCTGAGATGAAATCAGTTCTTGTTCCTCTGAACTTGAATTAAACATACCTTTCTGGGGAAATGCGCTTAAACTCGTCCTTGTTTTCTGGATTGGTCTGTATGCGCAAACTAACTATTGTAGCTTGTGAGCTCATGGCTGCGATGTATGGGTAGTCATAAGCATACCTGTCAATACAAACTGACCGACTGTAGCAGAAAAGCCGGAGAGGAAGGCATTGAAGGGCTAGAAGTTGTGTCAGAGTAGCTGCTTGCGAAGTAAGCTGGTAGTAACGTACGTAGTTACCGGCCAGGACGCAGTAGAGAAACTGCAAGGCGCCGACGAGCAGGAGAAAGGTGAGAAAACAATCAATTAGCTTGATTCGCTGCTGCGTATCGCGTTGGTAGTCTTGCCCGAGCTTTCCAAGGAGGCTCGTCAGCGTGGTTGGCTCCGCAGTGATTTTACTACCTTTGGGCCCACCACTGGATGCCTTTGTCGGCTTGACCGCGGCCGTACCGAGCGCAGAAGCGGCTTCCCGCGCGGAGCGTTTCGGCGCCATGTCACCAGGCGAGAGGGAATGATCCGGAGGAACGGCAGCAACGCAGGAGTTGAACTCTCGACGTTTGGAGGGGAGGCTGATGAAGTCTCGGATTGTGTATGGTGATGCTGAGCTGTCTTTTGCGCCTTGCGTGAAGCGACACCTTACCTTGCACTATCAGCCTGCCAAGCCGACGCAGGGTAACGACGGGTTCGTAGCTCAACAGCGGATTTCTCTACTGGTTGCACTCCCTCTCCATCTCTAAAGTAAACGTTTAAATTGAACTCCAAACAAAAACCCAGACAATGGTTAGTAGGCTTGTCGGATCCATAAACACACAACTTTAACCAATTAAAGGGAATTGAAACTCAAGCTTACGTACTTGGCACATTTGCGGCAGGCGGCGGAACAATTGGATACATCCGCAAGGGCTCAATCCCTTCGATGGTCGCCGGAGTTGGAGTGGGCTCATTGGTAAGTGAGGCAACCATTAAGCTGCTAGCTATTCAAGGATGCACTCTAAATACCTGGTGACCAATTAGTATCTACTTGGTGGGTATCGAATGCAAAACAAACAGTCATACGGCTTAGAACTAGCTCTTTTTGCATCACTGCTACTCGCTGGATCGTCAATTCCAAGAGGTATTAAGACCAAGAAGCCACTTGCTCTGGGTCTAGGTGCATTATCGCTTTATGGGCTATTTACCTTTGGCAACGCATACGTGTCTATGAAACAAGAATCCAGCAAGAAAATACTTTGAATGTGGAAAACATAGTACACGACGTGCAGAAAATCATCTCGGGCGTAGACCTGCTAACTACAGCGATTTGAATCTCCACTCCTGTTGTATATTAACCTTTTTTGATTTATAAAACAACGAAATTTTAGCTATAAAATCTGAAATAACCTTTGAACATTATCCATAAAGTTTAGATTACGGATAAATTCAAGACTTTTTGGTGTTAATAGCGTTTGTGTGTAGGTTTTACATGGGACTGCCTAGTGCTCAATGTCGCATTACTTAGAGTACATCGCAACTTCAATAGAGAAAATTTCATAATTACCTCTTGATACTGAACTTGAAGCACTTCGTCTTGTAAACCCTCATGTAATTCTGAACGGTTCTTTTGTCCTTATCGCATTTATTCTGCAAACCCTTGCAAACCCGTTTCGGTCATGAATTGGCGTCTATCTCGGCCCAAAGTTCCCTGATTTCTTTATTCTTCGCTTTGGAAGCTTCTCTATTTGCCTTAGTGCGCTCAAGTCTTTGCTCTCGAAGGCATTTGTTAACGGCAGTTTTAGCATCGTTACACATTCCTACTGCCTTCCATAGAAAGCCTCGTGCACTAGACTACAGTAAGGATTTGATCAAGGTCGAGATGGTAGTTATCATATATGGTAAAACTGACTGGCATTCATCTAATAAGTTCATAACCTCTTCACACGCTGGTGGGCATCAGCACGAGGCTGTAAATAAATTAGTTAATTGAGATCTTACCCCCGTTATGTTTGGTATGCAGATGAGGATGCATATTTACTGTGATAGTTAATATGTAAAGTGTAGTGGGCGAACGCAGCGCGTGTAGCAACTATTATGGACTATTGAATATCAAAGAGTTTGTATCTAGTTTCATCAATGTTCTCGGTTAGCCCACACTCCTACCAGCTCTATTAAGACTACTCGCCTTGCACGTGCTCGTACCGCCGATAGCGATGGTCGGGCCCGATTGTCACTTTGACATCCAGGCAGTTCGTGATGGCGGAGCAGATGGACACAAAGAAGCAGCAGGGTAAGCTAAATGACACTATTTATCAATCTCTTACCCACCGCGCGCTCTCTCACCTTCAGTAGAGCTCCAAGCCAAGTATACTGGCTACAAAAGCGGCCTCGAACAAATCGCACGCAAGCTCGGCGACATCGAGCAGGAACTAGAGGAGCACCGACTTGTCCTCGAGAGTCTGGAAAAATTACCTACGGAACGTAAATGCTTCCGTATGATCAACGGGGTGCTAGTTGAGCGCACTGTCGCGGATGTCGTTCCCGCTCTCCAGACCAATTCAGATGGTTTGCGCCAGGTGCTCAATGAGCTCGTCAAACAATACACGAGCAAGCAGCAGGAAATGGATAAATGGAAGGTGAGTGCTGGCAATTTGTCTAGCTCTTTTGCTTACTCGGTCGAATCCCTAGAAGAAAAATAACATCCAAATAATGCAACAATGAAAATTCTGGCGACTTTTGTAGCCATTCGTCTGCTTTCAAATCTAAATATGCCGACATGAATACGAGTCATAGCTTTCAATTAAATATTTCTGAACTATTGCAAATTATCGAGCACTACTACAGTTTATCTACCATCTAGAGAGGTTATCTGTATCCTTTAAAGTTTCGGGTGAGTGGTGTGCCAAAGAAAACAAAGGTATCGATTGGATTTAAGGTTGTTTGAGATGAAAAAACCCAGTATAAAAAATTTAATGCCACTCCAATACCTGACACTTTATCGCCTATTGGCCAATTCTATGCAAGTCTATCTAAGTAAGTGAAAAAAAATTTCCATCAAATATCTGTTGTCTTTGAATAAAGCATTTGAAACAGTAACAATATTCGTAAAGTTGGGTTATAAAATTTCAACCCTAAATCAAAGCCCGACAAAGGCAAATTAATGTTACCGCCAGACTTAGGGATAATAAATTTTGAACCACTCATGTGACTCAGTCCTTCACAATCCCCACTCCAGAGATCTGAGTCGGTGTGCGCCTACAGATTATTGCCGTTCTTATGAGGCTCTCACAGGCTGATGTCACGTCTTGTTCTCTTTTGTTTAAGTAATAAGGTTCTAGTTTGATTATCTGTTCTTAACCACTTTATCAAGATATTAGACGTAAGTCTATAATCCAGATGTACTTACGCGCAGCCAAAATACCCAATGTGTGGCCGGGGTATTCTTAGGTGCATTATACTGTATCAGTCACTTCGGATAGATATCATATGAATGAATGAATATTTATTCGTGACAGGCATAAGCCTAGCACTGATTGAGCGTAACACAGAAAAGGCTAGTCATCCCCCGACGACTATTATTTTTATTATAATAACTTTAGTGTCCTGTCTCAGTCTATGACTATTTGGGACATGCAGGTCCTCTCTGCATACATGCCAAGGATACCTATACCAGTAGTATATCCCCTCTCATGCCTCCCATACAGCTCCCCTCAAACAGTACCACCCCTCACAAGTCCTCATTCGATCATACACTTAGAAGAGCCCTTTGCCCTTCATTATCCCCCATCTCCAGCCAACGAAACGATGGCCATTTGCGGGTGTGTGGCAGCCGGGAAAAATCGCAAAAAACCACTGGGTGCGGAGCTGTCCTAATGCCGACATTAGGACTATATCCGAAGAAATACTGCCCCTTCTGACGCGTTCGAAGAGGCCGGCCAGCTGGGCGCTGCAGACTTGTGGATACCTCGGAGAATTCACACTCTGCCTTTCTAGCCTCCTTCCAACTCCTTCCCGAAGGTCGTGCTGAAATTTCAGAAAAGTCTTGACAGAGCGTGATTACTGTGTAGCAGCTTAGCCCAACTTCTTTTGTGCCGTCCAGGGCGCTGGGGAGTGCCGTTAACTCATTGACAAGAGAAGCCCTCCTGGCTAATTAGCCGAAATCTCGGTCTTGGCGCCCACAAACATTCCAATATTGAAGTCCCCTCGAAAATATCGGTCCAAGCATGCTCTTCAGAGACCTGTTCCCTCTCTCGTTCCACGTCTCAGCCGCCTGTCCTTCCTCAAGATGTACAACCCCATTAGAGCAACAGTCCCCCAGAAGCCAAGACCCCAACTTTGTATATTATGACTTAATTTCCTCCTTGCGGATATACATAGCATCGTAAGTTTGTACTGAGACACGGCCGATTTTTGATGGAGAGAATTCCCGATTGCAATTGGAATAACGCTTTTGTCAGAAGTGAAGGCGGATGCTGTAGGAAGATTGAGGTAGAAGAATCGCGTGAGAGTGATAGGTCCAACATTTGTCGAAAAGTCCTCAATTTTAGATATGCTTGAGCTTGCTTACGACCTCGATTTGGATGCGACTCTTCTTGGTTATCTCAGATATACAGAGCATACTGAGAGATTACACCGGCACTACTGGAAGGTGAAGAATACGCTTTTGCCGACTCGGACAGATAGGAAGTTTCAATAGTTCATTAGTGTAGGCAGACTTATGCTTGCATAAATCTGAATTTAGTCCAAAAGCGAGAGTGCGATCTGCGTGGAGGCGTATTGGACTAATGATGACGCTCAGGGGCTGTTTGGGAGTAGGTCTAGATTTCATAGTGCTACTGTGAACTCATAGCACAGAGTTATGCATTTATTCATTCATATATTCGCTCTCACCTTTTGAAGATTCATGTAACTTTCACACGAGGGCTTCTCTAAGCTTTACAATTTGTGATATAATACCCTGAATTTGACTGGACATAAATTTAGGTATGCGATGCCTAAGGCATTTGCGGCTAAAATAAAGTTCAAACTCACAGGCAAATTCTGTCTTTAAAAACGACTCCTAATTTTACAATTCCCGTATCTCGCTCGGCGCCACGCTAGATTTCATAATTAAAATCCATAATCCCCAAGCATGCGTAAATCCCCTCTTATCTCCGTTATACACTATTCCGAAGATAACGAGGTGAAGTCTCATAATAATTAAATACATTGTCAGTGGAGAAGATTCCGTAGTGATGGGCTGGCACTGGCACCACCATTTTTCCTGCTATCATTTGCTCGGATATTGTTACCTTGGCTATTGTTTGGATCGAGCGCCCTGGTGTGAGCCTCATGGTTTCTAGGACTATCTTGATGGGAACTAAACGAGTGTTCCCGCTGGTGATCGGATCTATTCGGATGAGAAAAAGGAGATTCTGGAGCTAAAGGTGGTGGCCCGCCGTCGATTAAGTTCTGAGGCGGTGGAGGAGGTCGTGATATGGAATATAGCACATGTGTGCTGTTCTGAGTATTTTGAGAAGAAGCTGTCACAGAATGATGTTTTGAGTTGCCATTAGTTAGTTGTATTGAATGCCCGTTTTGATTTGAACTTAGAATGGATTTTTGTCCCACTTGAGCATGGGAAGGATCAGGTGTATGAATTGTTTCCATTTTGGTCACTGGAGTATGAAAACCATTAGCATGGGTTTCCATTGATATAACTTGGGCTGTCGGAGAGTGATGTGACCAGCTTGGTGACTGCTTGCTATTTGGTAACCCATTTTGGATGATATTCGTAGATGTATGCGGCCATAAATAAGATCCTCGCGATATTAGATTGAGATCAGTCTCGGCTTTGAGAGTGTGTATTGTTGCTACTGGGAGCTGTATAGTAGATGATTGAGACATATTGGCATAAACTACTGCTGGAGTGTGCCCTGGCATTTTTCGTATCTTCTTCCAATGACACTGATGACACTGGAGTTCTAGTGAAGAACTTATGATAGGATTTGGCATAGTCTTTTCATCTTGGTGAAGAGCAGCTGCAGCAAGCGCAGCAGAGGTCTCATTGCCTGTTCTTGATGTCTCCGATATCTGACAGTTCTTCCCTTTTGTAAGCTCAGTGAGAACTTTATTCTGATTTTCCCTTCCCAACTGGAGAACAGGCGAGTTAGCTGTTAGTTGTACATAAGTCTCTTCTAAATACGGCCACCATTTAGGGCTTATATCAACAAGGCAGGTGACGCATAATTTCTTGATATAGTTTGACCTAAAAATTGATGTGTCTTCAATTGTTCCTTGTCCTGTCACGACTCCACGTGAATTGTTTGAAGGGCCATTTACAGAAGAAGACGTCCGTCGACTGGTTGAGAGAGAAAGTTGTGATAAGATATTCCCATTAGTTGATAAATTTATGAGAGTGGCTTTGCGAACAGTTCCTGTCAAAGCAAGATCTGCTTGCTTGAAATTTCGTACGAAAAGCTGCAGAGCATTTAAGCCAGAATTGTCTACAATATGATGCATTTGATGCGAAATGACTTTGGATAAGACGTGATCTTTACACCGTATGGCTGCAGTCATGATGCCAATTTCACCGTCAATATTTACAATATTGAATTGGTCTCGCCTGTTTCCTTTGATAGGCGTTACATCAAAGCCTAGATTGTATCCAGCCTGACGAGCACACTCTACATGAACTATTTCTATCGATTAGTACTTTCATCCCAGTATTGACGACATATTAATCACTAACCAGGTACGCGGCAATGATAACAATGGACACAAGCACCTCTGTTGTTTTTTTTGCACACCTTGCATGTTTCTTCATATCTCGCCACTGGGATTGAGGGAATTCCCTCGGATGGTTCTAGGGCCCGTGCGTTACCGAATTTAACCTCTGGCGTAAAGACCGCGCACGTAACATGAATCCAATTATTGTTGGCGGTGCGTTTTAAGGGTTCGCGCGGATTTACTGGCTTGCTCATCTCCAGCTGTTTGTTTCGGAAATAATCAGCTACATCTTGGGCCTGTTCTCGTTCCCGATCTTTTTCAGACCTTTTCTTGTTGACAGTTTTTGAATGTTCAATAGAATCTTTTTCAGTAGACTCAACGGGACATAACATACATTTGTATTGCTAACAAATTAGATTTTGAATTTCTTCTTCGGTACGAGCCACTTACAACAGAAACTTGAGGATTTTTATCATTGGAGCACATATCGCATGTCCATTTGCTGGAATTTCTACTGTCACTCACTACACCGTAACAGTTGCGATGAACAGTCAAACGGCAGTCTTTGCATGAAATACTTTGATCTGCAAGTGGTTCTATCTCATTGCATATAGCACAGGGCATTATTTTTGCCTTGGGAGGTTCGGGAGGTAGTATTGGAATTGGCTTGTCTATTGTAAGTTTTTTCTTCGAGACTACTAGAGGCTCATTCGTTGTAGCTAGATTTTCCTTTTCATTGGAGACTTTTATCTTCTTCCTGGGTGGTTCGATGGGAGATAACGTGGGAACTGTTGTCAAGTTCTGAATTCCCAAATCAGGTGTGTCAATAGTGGGCGATGATCTTGTTATATGATTGATAACCTCATTAGCAGCAATCAATTCTTTCAACAATTCTTCATCGATTTTCCTTTTTCCAGCACGGCCTCCAGCTTGAGAAAGTTTTTTTGCTATCTCATCCACATCTTCCCACTGAATTGCGTAGCGACGCCACAGTTCAGCGCACCGACGACAAAGTGCAATCATAACGTGTGAATACTTGTCTTTTGTAGAGCTCCTTGAAGATGTGTTTTCGAGTATCGATTGACCAGCAGGGGTATTAGGGGCTCGCCTCCATTGCCGAGAACTTCTAGTTGAACAAAACTTGCACTGAAAGCATTTTTTAGTTCGAAAAGCTTTATCATTATCAAATGCAGAGTCATCATGTTCATCGGCAACATCATCCTGAAGTTTCAATGCTGCTTTGTTTCCTTCTACTTTCTCTTTTTTGGCTTCCTTTTTACCCTTTCTGCCAACATAATTACCCCAGATAAGTCTTCCGCGATCAGTTTTTTTCCATGTGTAATAGAATCTAACAATATTAGCAGGAGTCACAGTCTTGACGTGTTTTTTAATGCTATGCCACTCGGAACCAAACTTGACTACAGCATCTTCAAATTTTTTCGTCTCAACAGAATTAAGCTCTGGTTCCTTGAATATTTTACGATCAACCCTGGCTAATGCATCTAACGCTTTTTCTGAGTCGTAGTTATTAGTATGTAAGATTTCGAGAGCGACATCCAAAAGGTTTGTTGAAAGAGGTGGAAGTCCCAAGTGTTTTGCTAACCCTGCAGCTCTTCCCATATAGTCAAAGATGTGTTGCTGTTTTTCGGCTTCACAAACCTCTCCTGGAGTTCTATCACCAACGAGGCTAGTTGGAAGGTCACGTGACTCTGGAAGCTTGTAAAGCAACTGCGAGGTACATCGGGGATCTGAGACGTTAAAGTCCTCACCACGGTGAACATAGCCAGAGGGCTCCTCCATAACCCATTTTGGGCGTTGATCACGGGTAACTTTTTCAGATTCTGGAGCTATAAGGGTTTCTTTTGAAAGTTTTGCATCTTTTTTATGACTCCCTCCCTTTACTGATTTCTTCTTCATGTCCGCGGTCTTGACATACTCCACTGGTCTTCCGTGCCATGCTGGAACGTTAGCCTGATGGCGAGGACCAAGGCGAGAGCTGGCACGTGGATAAATCCGATCATCATAATCTAATGCGTCCTCGACTTTACAGTGGATTCCGAGGTAACGAAATAACCATAAACTAGCTTGGTAAATCTGCTCCGCTGTTCCAGTATGATGGCTAGTTTCTGCGTCGCCGATGGTTGGAAGGCATGTTTCGCCCGTTTCAGGAAGATCAGCGATAGTCGTCTGAAGATCTATTTCTTCATCAATAGGCTCTTCATCTCCAATAGGCGTATCAAGTAGATTAGGTGTATTTTGTGCTTCGAGCTTTTTTTCTTGGGCTTTACTGCAGGGGCCACAAGCCCAAGCAAATCCTCGGGACGGTTTTTTTAGTAACGGAGGGCTAATGCAACTCATGTGATATGTGCTTTGACATACTGCACAATCAACAGAATCATTGCTGGTAATTATTTAGTTCATTTGCTCATCAAACCAAAGCTCCCAGTACAAACCTTGCTGAATATTTATTACACCTCTTGCAAGACTTGACAGCACTCGTTAATTCTTTGCCTCTTCCTAACTCAACCAAGATGAACTTCCACCGTTCGTCAAGTACTTTTTTGACTTCTACAGGCACGTTTATAACTTGGCTCGTAGGTATTACATCGTAGAATCTGTGGATGTATCGATCATATAACTTCTCGTACCAAAAGCAGTCTGGAGATTTTCTCAATTCATCTAGTTTCTCGACTTCGCTTTTGTGTTTGATTTGACATTTTCCTCGAAGTGAAGTGAGAGGGCTGATGTCAGAGTGCATTGAGGCAAATACTTGGCGAGTGTCGTTAACTTTTCGACCTATATCTTTGGGACGGTAGTACCAGTTGAGTCTAAGAGCATCGATAGGCTGAGTAGGATCATTGTTAACGTGTAAAAATTCCATAATTCTGCCCAAATAGTAAGGTTCTCCAGGAGGCTCACATATGAGATACACATGATCTAGTTTGCATTAATATAGTTATATTTTGAAGCAATGAGTAATCTTACCATTTGCTTCTAGTACTACGCCATCATCTGCAACGAGCTTATTGTTGTTTAATCTGCCTTGACTCTGTTCGAATTCCATCATATTTGTCTCGCGGAATCCTGCCATAACTTTAGTTGTTATACTAGACCTACGGGTTTTTGGATGAGAGTGACTGTTCTGTAGAATAGGGTTCGTCTGTTGCGTGGAATGACATGCTGGCTTGCGTTTTTTTATGATGTTACTCGACCCTATGCTGGAGTTTGGATTTGCAGGAAAAATAGAAGTGCCTGGAATCGAGTCTTTGCTGTTACTTTGCAAAGATGAAATCATTTCAGAGTCTATTGTAGGGATCTTGTGTAAAAAGTTGTGAGACTTAACAACATCAGAAGCGTTTCCTAGCTCAGTTACTCGTGTTGCTTTGCGAATATTGCACGCAACTGTTGCAGATTCGAAATCTGCATCTAACTCTCTATCTTCTGCATAATTCGGCCTTGAAACTCCGCTTCGATTCCGGGATCGTGTCCCGTAAGGAATAACGCCACCCGTGCTATCAGCGCGTGGGTTTGCGAGTGATGTAGCGTCAGCCACAAGTTCGGATTGTATTTCCTCTGTGCATTGCGAAGACGAGGTATCGTCTGTGGATTTAAGATCGTGTTGAGGCATCGATCCGGATCGAGAGCCATTTCCAGTCGCAAATTCGCTGACAATAGCCGAATTTGTTACACAGCTACCAGTGAGATTATCATCCGTCGTGGAAGTACTTTTTGGCGCAGCAGCTGAGGAGCCCGGGCAGTCAGAGGCATCTCTGCTCATAGCGTTGGGTTTTTTCAGCAATCTTTTGATTACGCGTGCTGGGTGGTTTGATAGCGCTTCCCGCGAAGTGGGATGGCGAGAAGCGCTGGAATAAGACGCTATGGAACGATTATAACAGACTCCGACCCCATTAGATTCGACTGGGTAGCTATCCTTGATTCTTGAAGAAAGAGATGCGTCGGTGGCGTTAGACAAAAATTTGAAGATGAATCGATTTTTATGTTGTAGTTTCCAAGCACGAGATTTTCCGCAAATAAGTAAAATAGATTATAGAGTTGTCTTGATCTGTGATGGTGAGCACAAAGCGAAATCTGCCATTTGAATATTGAAGAGATAGACAAGGAGAAACTAAAGGCTTGTAAAGTAGATATAGGCACGAGCTAGTGTGAAGGACTATAGATTTGCGAGCGATTGCAAGTTTGAGCTGATTATACTTTGACAAATACGTGACAGATGGGGGTTGACTAGGTGGTTAAGGGTAGCCGGCGCCGAGCTAGGGACACGACTGTTGGAGGCTAGCATGTACCAGTTGCAAAATTTAGATTGAGGTTAAGATATGTTGCCGAAAGTCAAGATTGAGATTGTATTGCAAACACTCATCGCTTATAGCCCATACGTTACTTGTGTGAGCTCACTTGAACTTTAACATTAGACAGCGTCTTCGACGTATAATCAGCTCGCATTTATGTGCAAGAATGTTTATTTCCCTCAACGATTTTGTAATTTTCTAAACCTTTTTGGAGATGAGCGCTTTGGGCCTGGAGTAGCAAGGATGAATTACGAGGGACAGGTTTGAGGGTTACAAATTGTCTTCTTTTTGCACCATTGAATGGGTAATCAGCTATAGCTTGAGCACTGCACCAGCGCCTTATGCACATGTTAAATGAATCTTTTGACCTTGGAAGCATTTGTGCTATTTCATCTATTTGCAACTATCATCGCGAAGTGTGCTTTAAAAATCACACACTTTACTTCAGTGATTCCTTGATAAAAGCTTACAAGACTCGGGCTATCAGTTCATTCCACCGTTGAATTAGACTTACAGAAACTGCGAGATATCTTAGTCGACTCGGCAGATGCCAAACAAATGAAATATTTCGCAGATTGAGGTATATGCACACATAATAAAGGCCTCGATAGGCATGTTAGACCGGAAGGCCTTCCGCTGCACTTTTTAGAAGCCACAAGTCTCATGAGATGACAATGATGACTGTAGAATTTCCTGATGGTACAGAAAATTACACAAAACCTTCAATAACATGAAGTCCAACGAAGCCTTGTAATTACTTTGTCACGACATGAAGGCTGAGGAATTGGGTTGCAAGGTTTTCGACGAGCTAACCGAGGGCTGTGTGAAATAGGTTTTGAAGGAAAAGAAAAAAGAAAAGATACGTCTAGAATATATACACCCACATAGAATATCCATCTATTGTGCATCCCCCATCAGAAAATCAAATGATTCATTTTGTACGTAGTTATGGCATGACTCAGCACGCAAAGGGCGCGTGCTCTGTAGATGTAGATTTCGTCGACAGCACCTCTAAAATAGACTATACCTGGGCACGACGTTTAATATTTGAATTTTTATATTCTTTACTAACACCTAATTAACTCTCATTGTATCCTTGATTGCTATGAAATTTACAATTAGCAGAAACTCCCTCGCTCAAAATGTTGGCCGTCACACAGCCAATATACCCACTAATCAACCGGCTGTGGGGCTGGTATTCCTAAAATAGCTCAGACTTTTTTGTATGTCGAGACGACTTGGTGTGAATGTAGGTTTGGCACTAAATTTGGCCTAAGCTAAACATGTTTCCGTCTCAAATTTCACTTTTATCCCAATCATTCGATCTTTTTACACTCAATTCAACATGGACTGAGGGCCCATACAATATCCATCCCATTGGTCGAAACGTATCTATGTCTAAATTTTTCGGAACATTTATCTTCAGCCTCCCAAACAGGATGTAAGCCATGGCTGGACCAAATGGGCAACAATTAGCTTTCCGCAATACAGCCTCGACCAATATGCGTCCATCTTCAGATTTTGACTGGTATCAAACCCACATACCCGCGTAAGTCAGGAAAATATGAGGCTGTGAGCCAACCAAATATGCCAAGCGAAGAGATACCAAGCAATCAAGAATTCAAAATGAATGAATTGCCGTACCCAACAATTATGGGAAAGAGTAAAAATCTAAAAACCAAAATTCTATGCCCGAAATCTACGCAGCTTTGCCGATACGATGTTCCGCGCCGATGACAGCTTCAAGACCAGAAGAAGCTATCCCTCCAGCTTATATCCTTTAGGAAGAATGTCGAATCAAGACCGCAGTTAGTATTAGTAGGTTATGAGGTGATCACCCACTAGGTTTCCCCGAATTGGAGAATACCGATAGCGCCCGTCCCCATCTTGGACCTTTTTTTTTGCATCAGATTTTAATTGCGTATGCAGCTATCTAGCTATGACGCAATATCAAAGAAAAGTATAGAAAAGATGACTCAATTTACAAGAGGAGCACTCATGCCTCGGATTTCATTTGCAAGTACCATTGCGATGTTATGGTGGCTTTTTCTTCACCCCAAGTCAACCCTCATTCGTGAATACCCACCCTGGGGAACGTCTCCAAACCCCTGAGTTATCCAGACATGCCTCCGTCATCCATTATCTTTCTTCCGCGCGAAATATGGCCTTAGGCATCTCCTTCCCAAGTGGAGTAGGTGCCCAGGCTACTCAAACTATACCAGAGAACACCGCCAGGAGGCGGATCACAACACCTTCCATCGTTGGCTTTTTTTTTTTTTAAATCATTTAATGTGTATTCAGCTATAGAGCTATGACACATGACCAGTGCTATGTTTACATATTGGATGACTCTTTTGACGTTAGAGACACTCATACTCTGGATTTCATTCGCAAATACCACTATGGGGTATGTTTGCTTACAAAAATAGTCGACCCTCCTCCGTATATACCCACCAAAGGGAATTTCAAAACCTTTGATTATCCAAGCATGCCTTTGTCATCCATATATACCAACCCCGCGAAAAATGTAGTTGTGATTGCCGGATTTGAACCAACGATCTACTGTCTCAAGTGGGATATGTGTCCAAGCTATCCAGACTCTACTTGGCAGACCAGCCCAGACGATGTACCACCGCACCATCTAACCATGGAAGTTTTTATAGCGTCGCCTGCACTCCTATCGTTGGCTTGTGTTTATAGTGTCAGCTGCACTCTCGCAAGCGAAGTCTTGGCGCGCTTAAAGCTCAATTCGTAAAACTCTTTCCTAAATTTGAAATTTCACGCCCGTCGAGAATGTATCCCTCTTCTGCATCATCTTGTAAACTTGTCCTGATCCTTCTCACGTCCGTCCCAAAGAGCTATCTCCCAGATTTGTGCTCCACGCTTTGCTTCCTCCGTCGGGTATAAATATCGGCGTGGGCGTGTATTTGGTGACCGGCTGAGGCCAGAGAAAGTCGACGAGAGGTGTGGTCATTGAAATGAGGATGTACTAGGTCGTACTTGTAGACTCGATGAAGCTTAGTTGAGAATCGGACTCTTTGGGAGTGAAAGATTGACATGGTGGAGTAATTTGAATTTTTGCCTCGTGGGCCAACTTCTTTGATATTGTGAAATTTGACTGAACTTGGCTCTGGGAGAATATATCACTCCCAGGTTCGTAGAGAGCACCACTGACAGGTGTTCAGTCTTGACCTCCTCATCTTGGACTATAGACATGTGACAGGAGTAGGCTCGATCTAAACCGGGTTCACGACTTCACAAAGCGAAGTAAATTTTTACGACTACACGAAGCGAAATGTCCGCCGTCCCTACAATTTCCGGCAACGGCTCAGCGATAACACTTCTAGAAAAGAAATAAAAAACGGCTAAAAGTGGCAAAGCAGCTTGTCATCTTACTGTCTCCACATTTACAGGAAGGATTCTCTTGCATTTAGCGATGGGGAATGCACCACTATATGAGTAGTCCAAATTTCAAACTGATCTATCGCCGCATATAGTCGTAGGGAAGGACCAGCCTTCCCGTGCCATGATCTATGAGTGCTAGGATTGTGCCTGTCACGAATAAATATCAATGCTAGAGTTGGGGTTCCATAGGCTTCCGTAACTATGGTAAAAATAATAAGCTCTCTGATATAGAAATTCGATGTAGGGACGAAGTGCTATCAATATCCCTAAAATTCTACAGCGGCTCGGGGGACGAAATCTCATTATCGGTCAGCGGTGTCCTCTTCGAACCTCTAGCCCTCACTGTATAGCCTGCAGAGCCGAGATTGAGTAACAATCTATCAACTTTGAGCCGGGTTATCTTGCCCTCCGTCAAAGATACGCTTCCGATAACACATAATACGACCAAGACGACGATAATGATGCCGGAAATGAGGAAAGATAAAGCGGTACCAAACGCTATAACGGTAGTCAGAGAAGCCTTGGTCGTATCACAACATGTGATCCCCACCAGTGAATAAAAAAACTCTCACGAAATAAATACAAATATACATCTGCCCTCAGGAAAACTAGATGTCGACTCATCAACTACAACGTCTCCTCTAGCCTTTGATTCAGAATCTACACTGCATTTCCTATATAGTTATAGACTCATACAGGACAATAAGATGAATTAATTAAGTCGGAATCTACTAGCTAGGAGGGCATCTGTTAGACTCTACGAGTCAATTGAATAATGTATGAAGTAAAAGTAAAAAGTGTCAATTAATTCCTGGCTGCCATTTCTCTTTCTGATACTATCTAGATTATGTACGTCTAGAAAATGGCAAATGCTCTATGTGTCCCTAACTTGTCCCCATGAACCGAGTTTCTCATGGTTTGGAACGAAACATCTCTAGTGAGGAGATATAGAGTTCCCATTGCTACAAACCAAGCAAAACACCTTTTTCCGAAACAAGTAACTCCAAGCTTTGTAAACCTAACTCCTTAAACTTTATATCTGACATTAATCGCCTCCAAACTATCC